TTTTTTTGGTGAATTGTTAATTGTAAAAAAAAAAAAAAAAATTTTTGCTGTCGTGTTTGTTGTTTGTATTCAAATTTTGTCGAGATGAGTAATTTAAACCCCGATTTTCTGCTGAAAAAGGAACTCCAGTTTGAAGTTGCCTTGCGAGGTGAGACCCCGGCTTTGAAGGTAGCTGATTTGAGACGTCAACTCAGGGGACTCATAAAGGCCAACAAGCCCCCTACCTCTGCTGTGAAGAATGATCCCGGTGAAGAATGGGAATTTTGTAAGGAGCTTGCTGAGGAATTAACTTTAGGTGTGAAGGACTTGGGCGATTATCCTAATCTGGGTTCCAATGCTGTTCAGCGCTTGAGAGTTCGTCTTGAACATCTTGAAAGACGGCTAAATGCCATAGATCCTGTTCAGGCTGTTGGGGAGGATAGCGAAGTTACTGTAACTCTTGTGCTTCAACAGGTCCGTGAGCACTTGTGCTTTTTATTAAATCCCAAGCCCAGAACTGCCACCGAGAACAAGGAGTTGGAACAACCTACTGTTAAAGTTGCTAGTGGCGGTAGTCAGGAGATCCAGACTCCAGATGAAATAGTGATTAACGAGAAGGATGAGTCGCAAACTCCTGTTGGGAATGTAACTAATACTTCCAACCCTTGTAATAAAATTCACAGTGCTGTATCTGGAAATTCACAGCCATCATCACAAACTGTGCAGGCTACTTCCAAACTCCCTGGAACCATGATAGCGCCACAATATTCTAGGCTTCCGAACCCAGTCAGCCAGGTTATGGAGAAGCTCCCCGTTACCGATGGACTCGAAGTACCGCAACTGTTGAATTTCCTTAGTTCCCTACTCCGTCTGAGAGAATTCCCTGGTGTGGATGACTCCACACTGCTAAAACTGGTGTACCCCTATTGTCGCAGCCCTTTGACTGAGAGAGTACTGTCATGTATCGAAGCTACCCGATCGTTTGATGATTTCCACCAAGAAGTTTTGGATTATTTTGTGCCGGGTAGGCTACTTCAACAATTGATACAGGAGAAATTTTACCGATTACAACGTCCAAGGGAGAGTCTGGCTAGTTTTGCTGCTGATCTTAAACATGTTGCTCGACTGCTTCGGGTTAAATTGGGAGAGACGGGAATAGTTGAAGTCATTCTGGGAGGTTTAACAGCCGAAGAACGTTCTCGTTTGGTTTTTTCGAGGCGACCGTCATCCTTCATTGAACTGGATGAGTTGAGCATCACATCACGAAACGTTGCCTATACTGACGGGTTGAGAAGTTCTTGTGCCCCGGGCGGTTCAGATATGCGGGTCCGAGAAAATTTGAAAAGTTTACCACTTATGAGTATGGAAGCAAATCCTTCACACAATACAGATAGGCCACGTACTGTTTTTACTTGTTACGGATGTGGCAGGAAGGGTCACACCCGAAGATATTGTAGAGCCACTCAAAACAGCAGGTTTATGCAGCCTCGACAGGAACCCCGTGAAGTTTCAAAAAACGAACAGAGCGGGGGGGAGAAGGAGAAATAAAACCGCCCCTCCGCAAAAGCCTCGGAGAAAGTAAAAGCAGTTGTTTCGTTACTCAACTTGCTAAGCAAGGTATTAGAGTGTCACCTGGTCACTGTCCTTATGTTCTGGTTAATTTTGGTGAATACCGTTGTGGAGCACTTCTGGACTCTGGATCCGCTCGAAGTCTATTATCACTGGAACTTTATAATCAGTTATTAAATCAAAATAAAATAAAATCAACTGAGACCATCAATCTACAATGTTTAACGGCTTCAAAGGAAATATTACCTATTAAAACTCAGATTCTTTGTAATGTCAAAATAGAAGGATTTTCATGGCTATGGACTTTTCTGGTCTCTGAAAAATTGGGAGTGGATTGCATCCTGGGAGCGGATTTTATTTCACATACTCAATTGGTTGTTGACCTTAGTCGGAGTAAGGGGTATTTCAATTTTGACAAGGAACGGTTTGTTAAGTTGGCTGCAAATGCGGTGGAAGCTACTCAGGTTTTCGAAGTGGATTGTGAAATTAAGGAGGAGAGAACTAAAGAGCCATTATCACACCTGAGCGATGATAGAAGACAGACACTTTCCTTGTTGTGCGATCAGTACCCAGATGTTCTTACTGGTAAATTGGGTTTAACCAACGTTTTGGAGTACACTATACGATTGACTTCTGATAAAATTGTGCGGTCACATCCTTACCGTTTTGCCCCACCCAAGATGGAGTTATTGCGACAGAAGGTCGATGAAATGTTACGACAAGGTGTTATTGAGCCATCCTCGTCTGGATACGCTAGTCCAGCGTTCCTTGTTCCTAAACCTGGGGGAAAATCACGCATGGTGATCGACTTTAGAAAGGTGAATGCCTGTATCGAAATTGATTCCGTTCCGTTACCTGACCTACACAGTGCTTTCGACTGGTTCAGTAAGGCTCGATATTTCACCATTTTTGATCTGAACTCGGCCTATCATCAAATTCCCCTGGCTAAACAGTCTCGACACATCACCAGTTTCTGTGTACCTTGGAACTTATATCAGTACACTCGAGTACCCATGGGTTTGGCTGTAGGCGCTCAAGCACTTACACGTCTACTGGACATCATCTTTCATGACCTTAAATTTAAATTCCTTTTCAACTATTTAGATGACTTGTTAGTTTATAGTGAAACCTGGGAGGAACATGTACTACATATTGAAGAAGTTTTGAAGAGGTTGCGTAAAGCCGGACTAACTGTTAATCCGGAAAAGGTGCAATTCGCCCGTGAAGAGATATCCTTCTTAGGTCATTTGGTTTCTGCCAAAGGTGTGAGCATTGACCCCGCTCGGACTCAAGGGATTAGAGATTTCCCTAAACCACGAGACGCTAAGGGCATCGCAAGATTTCTTGGAATGGTGGGATTCTACAGAAAATTTATTCCAAATGTTGCAGATTTATCAGTACCTCTGAATTCTTTAAGGAAAAAAGGAGCAAAATTTATTTGGGGCAAGGAGCAGGAATCGTCATTTTGTGCACTTAAGGAAGCTATCATGTCTCCACCAGTGTTAAAGGTACCGGATTTTTCACAACCTTTCATCCTTCAAACTGATGCTTCATCTCAGGCACTCGGTGCCGTACTCCAACAAGAAGTGGATGGCACTAGACAACCTATTGCTTTCGCTTCTAGGACACTAAGCCCTCAAGAGAAGAAGGCGTCTTCGATATATGAATTGGAATGTTTGGCTGTTGTTTTTGCCGTTGATAAATTTCGTAGGTATTTGGAACACTCAGAATTTCTTCTCGAAACGGACAATCAAGCACTTTCTTGGTTACTAGCTCATCCCCGTCAATTAGGAAAGATAGGCAGATGGGTCGTAAAACTGTCCGCACTCAAATTCAAAGTACAGCACATTAGAGGAACGCAAAATGTAGTGGCGGATGCCTTGTCTCGCATGTTTATTCAGGAGAAAGGTGATTCTCAAAATACAACTATTACCTGCAATATGTTACTCTCTGATTTCCCTTTAGCTTTCACTGCACTTCAAAAACATCAACAAGAAGATCCAGAAATTGTGGAAATCCTAAATAGGCTTAAAAATGGAGAAGTTTATCCACCGTATTTATTGTCCAAGGGAGTTGTCTGTTGCCGCCCTCAGAGGGGAAATCGAAGTCCTAAAGTTGTTTTGCCAAGCCATCTCATCCCCATGGTTTTCTCATATTTCCACCAATCACCAGTGGGAGGACATCTTGGAATATTAAAAACCATTTCCAAGATTCGCCAGGAATATATATGGAAGGGTATGGACCGAGATATCGCTAACAGGGTTAGGAACTGCAATCTTTGCTCTCTTAGTAAGCCTGCGCAGAATACCAGACTAGGCCTACTAGCTTCGGAAGTTGCTGAAAGACCCATGGAAAAGATATTTATCGACTATGTTGGACCTTTTCCTCGTAGCAAGACTGGAAATACTACTCTTCTTGTAGCAGTCGATGCATTTACGAAATTTGTGTGGTTATTCCCCATGAGGAAAGCTACAGCCCGACTCACCATAGAAATTCTACAAACTCGTTTGTTTCAACATTTTGGTAATCCTATGAAATTGGTTTCCGACAACGGACCTCAGTTCAGGTCCCATTTATTCAAGAGGATGTGTTTCGGTCAGGGAATACACCATTTTACCACTTCTCCCTATTACCCCCAGCCCTCTCATGCAGAAAGATTTAACAGAAATTTGAAGTCAGCGCTCATTGCGTATCACGCAGAACAGCAAGACACCTGGGATCAGAACCTACGATGGCTACAACTAGCTTTCAACACTGCTCTCCATGAAGGCCATAAGGCGGTACCTTTCGAACTCATGTTTGGATTCAAACCAAATAACCCTTTGTCAAATGTTTGGAAAATCACTGATTTGTTACCCTCCATACCAACCCCGGATGTCAAAAACCTGTGGTCAGCCGCTAGACGGAATTTAAAGCGAGCCCACGAGAGACAGCGGGATCGATATAATCAAGGAAGAAAAGAGAACCCTTTCAAGATTGGACAACTTGTTTTTTGCTTAGCCCATCCCCTTAGTTCAGCAGTGGAGAAACGTGCTGGAAAACTGTGCTATAGGTGGACTGGACCTCTAAGAATTTCTAAATTTTTGTCACCTGTTACTGCTATGCTGGTTGACCCCACTACCGAAGAGAAGTTTAGGAAGGCTCATATTTCACATTTAAAGCCCTACACCGGGGATGCAATGTTTGTTTCAGGAAGTGAAAGTAAATAAGAATAGTGTGTCTTAGGACTGATCACCCTCAAGACTACGTTCTCTCTGAAGTTTTCTACATCTCTCTCTATTCTATACAAACATCTATCAGCGCTGATAACCCCAGTTCACCTATTCTGGAAAACATTATGAAACTTCAGTTATCACTTGTTACCTGTTTGAAAATTTTGAGCCTGATGTCTCCTTTGGGGTGGGAGGTTGAGCCGTGTCAGTCAGCTCAGTTTGAGAAAGGAGAGTATTTCTTATAGTACATATTGCGGCAGAAGCTCTGTACGCCGACGCTCGCCAAAGGCCGTGGGCGAGTCCACTTTGTCTTTACTCCCCTTCTTCTCCGATTTGCTTGGAGACGTTCTCTCTCTTTGAAATCGTCCACCTAGATTGACGTTCCAAATTTTACCGGCACTATGGAGACTCAAGAAAGAAGATTTTCCAAGTTCATTTTGTTCGACCTTCATAAAATGCAATTTTAAATTTGTTTTTGACACCAAGCCAGGTATGTCAAATCATTGTATTAGATTAATTGTCCGTTTTTTCATTTTTATACTTAGCCATTTTTCCCTCAAACATTTTGTCTGTTCTTGAAAGCGTTCACAAGAGATTTGTCCTTTTTCTCTATATTTGTGTAAAATGATGTTTATAATGTCTTTTAAAGTTGTTTAAATTGTTTAACTTGTTTTGTCAAATGTTTAAAATTGTAGTTGTCAAAAATTTTGTGCTTAAAGTTAGTTTTTGTCTGGTCACAGACAGGAAAATTTCATGTTGGTGTTCAGGACACACGTGTTCGACTTTGGTAAATTCGTTGTTTTTAATTATTTGTGTTGTTCTGAGTCGTCATTTGTTTGTGTTTACAGGTTTTCCAAACTAAAGTAAAGTGAAAGAGTTAGTTTTTCCTTTTAACAAAATCCACAGGCTAGGCCTAGGCTGGAAATTGTATTAGTATTAGTAACAGAAAACTGAATGAAAATATGTATTGTTTTGTTAAGCCAAGAAAAGCAATAGAGATTATTTGTTTAACCATGACTAACAGAGATTTAAATTTTTACTTAAAGTGTTATGTAAATTTAGCTCTGCCGTAAACTCCCGAAAGACCAAGTCTATATTCCTTGAAAGGGTTAGGTTTGATAATATTCTGAAATACTGATTATTTTCAACTTTTAAGTAGGCCTGTGTAATTTTAAAGGGCTCCTGTACTGGACCGACAGCAGCGGACACATCATGCCTCCTGATCCTGACCTAGTTCGGAGCAAGACGAGGGCTTCGCCCCCGGACTAAACCAGGCCTAACCACAACCAACTCGCAGCGGAAGGACTTCACCCAGAAACATTCTACGAGAACTTTGGCCTTCTTCACCTCTACAAACCAGGTGCTATCTACTCCATGTTATCATTATTATTCCAACGTTTGCATTCAGCCTACCTTCAAGAACAGTTCATTTATATCAAGTTTTTCCCCAATTTAAAGTTTTACCGTTTCAATTTCTTAAACTCTGTAGCCTAGCAAATTGAGCTTAGTGTTTCCCTAACTAGGCCTACTTCTTATTTCTGGACTAAACTACAGACTAATAATCCCCTTGTGTTTTACTGTTTCAAAATAAATGTTTTTATTTCGCTATCGCTGCGAGTTGAGTTGTGGAACTGGAACTAACAAAAGTCAACAAGAATACATTATTTATATCACGGGTCTACGAGTTTTTTTTTTAAAAGCTACAAGAATTCATGTATTTAGTAGGGGGTCACATTTCCTTGTTATTTCATTATTTTGTGTATGTACCATGTTATGTTAGTAATAGGCTAAAAATTTCTGTTCTAACGGGGAAACTTTCGGCCCAATTGTTCTAAATTTCATTTCGGTTCACGCCAGTACTAAATTCTTCCCCACAATTTTTGCCATTTTAAAAATTCTATTTCTTACTGTTTAAATTAGAATTCTATTCTGATGTTAGTGTATATTTGTGTATAATTGTCTTATGTTGCTATTTAAATATTTTCATGTCAATGTTGAGTGTAATTTTGAACTGTAAGGTTGTTCGAACGTTTTTCTTTAAACGCAACTTGTTATTGATATTTTGGTCAAATACTATTTTTAAATGATTTCATTGTAAGGTCATTTCAATTCAACGTCTGTTTTATGTAATATTTTCAATTTCTTGCCTTTTAAGATTCATATTTTTAAATTTATCATTGTCCTAAACCTTTTCCGAGTAGGCCTAACCTAACTTAAAGTAAGGATTTTCTTCTAGTTACCAGCTTGGTCCTTAAACTTAAACTTGAACTTCAACTTTTGGTAAAGTTTATATATACATAAATGTTTTAAATGTTTTGGTAAATGATTTAGGCCTAACACTGGTATTGATTTACATTCTAAGCCTTGTACCAATTTGTATATATTATTTCGCTGTTGTTTAAGGGCGCATATTTGTTAATATTTTTAATTGAGTTGGTAATAAAAGATGTTAATCACTTTTCAGTTGTATTTTTTTTGAACACCTGCAGATCTCTCATGAGCACAGAATCTTGGTAAAAGTTCCACGTACCATTTTGGGGTCTGGGAACTCAGTTATGTTTCATTTTTCAATTAGCTGATCTTGTTTTTTTTTTAGTGTTTTTAGTGTTAAAAAAAACATCATTTCTATTTCTTCTACTTGGTTCTGTTCTATGACTTTTTCTATGTTTCCATCGTTTGCAAATCGGTTATTTCAATGATTGCTCAAGAAATGTAGCACAGTGTTAATTCAGTTTTATTTTTAGCCAATTTAAAATTGTCCAGGATTTCTCGCTCTTTTCCATAGTAATAATTACATTAACCGAAGTTTCGTCTACAGATGCAATACGCCAAAGAATATCACCTACGTACAATCTCCATGAAGTGGTAAAAAAGGCAGAAAGCAACCCAAACAATAGATATAAGTTAACCCCATAAGAAATAATTTTAAAAGTTACTGTGATATTAGGATTTTCCACTGATTTGGTAATAGAACATTATATTGCAAAACATGACACGATGCAGAAGAAAATCAATTTTAAAATCAGAAAAATCCATTTCAAATACTGTACTTCATTTTGACAAATTCAATAAATCACAATTTAAATATTAACAGCTGTTGCATAAAAAATTTGTGTAGAATTATGCATATGGTCGTAATGTAAACAAATCTGAAGAGGCAACTTTAGAGGCTTCTGGGGCAGAGCCCCAAGGGAATTTACCTCTTTCCTCTTTTGATGACTCATCCACAGACCAAGACCTTTCTTTAGAGACCCTGACCAAGTTTCTACGCCCAGCCGTTCTCTCAAATTAGCTGTGACAAAAACCCCGTTTTCCTCCATAAGAATAACATGGGATGGGAATTTAAAGGCCACGGAGGCAGAGCCCCAAGGGAATTCACCATGTTTCTCTTTTGATGGCTCATCTACAGACCAAGACCTTTCTTTAGACACCTCTACCGAGTTTCTACGCCCAGCCGTTCTCTCAAAATAGCTGTGACAAAGAAAAACAGTTTCAAATTAATATATAGATTAAGAAAGCTTTAAATAAAAATAGATTTAAAAATATTTGAGTTATTAATTACATTTAAAAACTATTTTTTCAAGTTACTGTACTGCCTATTAATTATATTCGGCATTTTCATAAATAAACATTTCATATTGTTATGATAAAATATCGGAAAATGTTACAAGCGTAGACGTTATGTGTGAGAGAGACACAGGTGCTCAGAACGAGTTGTAAAGTTGTAACGCCGCTTGTAGGCTGAATAATATTGGAGCTTTTACCAATATTACAGTGAACATTTTTAATCATTTATTACACCTGAAACCTTGTATACAGTATATTTTTTATCCCATTGCTTGCCAATTGGAGATGCTATTGCTTGCTACATAAGTCTATTTTAACTAAAAAACAAGAACTTAAAAAAAAATAACAAGATATCAAAAATACAAGACCCTAAAGACTAAGTCCCCTTGATAATGTAAAATTGCAGTTACTGCTTGGATTTATGAATTATTTTGTGTAAGAAATCTAGAGGTAAACTAGTGGCTTGTAGGGGCAATAGCCCCTATAGGTCTATATTCTAGTAATTATTTTGTACAAATTATTAGTCTCATGGGTTACCCTACCTTGAATTATCGTTAAAAATTTGTGTTTAATATAATATTTATTACATACCCTGCATAATGCATTTTGATGTCTGCTCTGTTTAAAAAAAAAATTCAAAAGGACTGTTCATGCAGTGTGTTTACAATATGAACTTTCTAATTATAATACCACCAAGGAACATTTTCAATGATAATCTTCATGAATATTAATTAAATATATATATTTCTTTGAATGTAGACAAATTCACTTCGATAAAACACATATAGATAATGTCATCCTCCAAATTGTAAAATGCTAATTCTATAACAAAATCTCTCTAAAAATAACATTTGTTGTATAGTAGGCCATCAGACCATGGGAATCGTTAAAGAGAGTCGTTTAGGAACAGCTCACTCAAAAAAGCTAGGAAACGTTTGAAGGTTACCAATTGGCTCCCTGTTATTACAGATTTCTTGCACTTCATTGACCTTACCAATTTTGTCCAACCTAAGTCTCAGTAACTCCTCGATTATTTGATATTAGTGATTTTAATTTACTGTTACCACTAGCATTTATTCTTTTTTGAATATACGGACCACAAACATCAAATGAAGAAAAGGCGCGATCAATTGTCAAACAATGGTGGTTAAGTGTTCGTTGGTGTAGTTCCTGCGGGGGTTTTGCAGCGTAGTAGACGAAGTGTAGGACCTAGCCTGGATTTTACAGTATCTAAACATAGAAGTGAGCTTCATCAGACGAAAACAGAACAGTTACAAGGGGTATGTGTTGTGTAATGAGTATACATTTTCAAACTTGGTATAACGGTCTAGCAAGAATATCAATAAACAGGTTAATATTTTAGCTCATAGCAATATTTTGTGGTTTTCGTTGCTGATATTGGTGTTAACTAAACAGACCTCTATACATGAAAACAATAAGGGAAATAAAGAAACGTAGATAAATGCATTTAAGCAATAAATCTACCATAGTAAATAAAAAATACAACAAATTGGGACATATGTTAAATCAGGATATACTGTATATAATAAATAAAACAGCAAATAACTTAGCAATTGACAATTGCCTTAATTTCATTTTTCTTTTATTAATAATTGCCTAAACATATTTTTATACTCGTAGTTTTAACTATTACTAATAGTTAATCTTGCATAAGTGTTCTTTAGATTTACATGCTAAAGAAATACAATTTCGTTTCTTCATACCTAAGTAAAAAAAAAATGTGTATGTTTCCAACGCCTAAAAATGATACAAATATTAACAGATGTAACATAAATGTTTTTCGGTATGATAAAACCACCAATGGCAATGTCGTAAGTAGCGAATATTTTATTTTCAGTTGCTTCACTTCATTTTGCAAACCAGCTGTATAATCTATAATTACTACAGTAGTATAACTTAACCATACACCATGATTATACCATCACTAGCTTAAGCAAATTCCAAACAGCAAACTTAAGATATCCGTCTCTCGTGATGGTTCTTGTGAAACACCCCCTCTAAGGCTGTCGTTAGTTATTGTTTTGCAGTTTAATGACTTTAACTTGACTAATAGCTCAAACGGGTAGCTTGTTTATAGGTTATTACAAAGATACTTAGTAGTATTAAGTTCAATAAAATAAATATTTAACAAAAATATAACCGTGGCTGACTAATTTGTTGACCCAAAAAACTTAAATAATGTAACAATAAATTTCTTTGTTTGAAAAAAATTGCAATATAAATATTATCAGTATGATAAAGATAAATTTTTGATAATAATTTATATAGTCTGTTTTGTCATTTAGATTAAAGCTGTTCAAATTATGTCCCTGAAGCAGTAATAGGAAAAACTAAATATCTACATACAGTACATACATATGTTTTCTTCGTAAAAGGGGTCAAGCTACATGAAACTACAAGTAGTTTAGTACGTGTTTACAAAATGCTACTAAGAGAGTTTACTTTAAAAAGAAAAAAAACCGCATTTTCATCTGTATTCTGGGACTTAAAATGATTTATGTCATATCACTGTACTATCACATAATGACCAATAGTCGAATAATATAATTTCTGTTTAATTTGATCAAGTGGATTTATAATATAAACCCACCCTTGTGTCAAGTAATGAGTGGTTTTTATACAAATAACTATTATTTTCAATTAACAACGTTGTTGTCACCATTAAACTATGATTAAAGTTTCCATTCTCTTGTAGATTAAGACACTATACTTTGCTCCTTCTTATTTTTCTCTACGTTGAGATTGTTTACGCAATCGAGAACTATTACTTTGATTACTGCCTTTATAAGGATTGAACTTAAAAAAAATTAAAAATAATATGATCCTCTATTCGGGCTGTTCTGTGGTAGATTTTGATTGGGGGAAAGCAATGATTCACACCACAGAACAGCCCGACATGATACCTATGTCATAGGTGTCTTACCATAAGTCTGATAAGAGATAAGGAACTATTACATGATATCTGTCTGTCTGCCAGGTCAGAGGTCCTTATGCATTTTAAGGTTATTTGAGGTTAAGATAGACCCAACCTAACCTAACTTAACCTAACCTAACCTAACCTAACCTAACCAAACTCAGAAAAACCTGAAAATTTAGCAATAATCAATACATCAAGTAAGAAGATACTGTTAATTGCATTTTGGTGATTAGGATTATTAAGAGTGGTATCAAGTGATTAGAATGATAGTCAACCGTTTGTCCCAACTGTTTAGAGCATGGAACAGTTGTATTTGTCAAGAAAAGCATATTATTTTGGTAAAATATTCAATGTATTTTTAATTAAGTGAAACAGGTCGTACATCAATGAGGTTCAAAAAGTAATAACACAACAAATTGAAACTCTGTAACTCTTTGATTAAATTAAAACACAGAGATACTAGGCAACAGGTGTATTTGTTTCAATAGAATTGAACAAATGAACAGTAATATGCCACTGTAACTATGTAAAACACTCACTGTACACAATTATTGATTGAGATAACAGAATCAATCAACTCACCAACTACAATTACACGTGCAGGTTTGACAACACAATACAGTAATTTGTACAACATGAGTGAAGCCTTCTGTTATCTCTAGGTGTAAATAAAAACTATTCATTTGGTTCCTAAATAAAGCTGATGACTATAACAATATTCACTTTATTATCAAACTAAATTTTTATCTTGTAGACGTAGGCTACAACAGACAACTTGTGACAGATGTTACATTACATAATTACAGATTGACAAAAAAAACATGACCCCAAAGTTTTTCTTATTTTACAGTGTTGCCACTCTACAGCATAATGCAATCAATAATACAACAAGTTGAGGGTTGACACATATAGTACAAAGCAGTTATTTTCTATACTAGGGTTGTGTAAACTTG